CAATGGGGATGGAGATTCTGATGGTCAGAATACCATTACTCACTTGCAGCCAGGCCTTGCAAGGATGTCCTTGTGTTAAAGTTAGCTACCCCTATATCTACATGAAGGTTTTTTTCATTCATTATTTTTCCTCTAGGGAAACAGTCTTTGTTGTGTGCTGTCTACTTAGTAAAGCTAAGAAATACAGGAAGGAAAAAGACAAAGTACAGAAAGAGAAACATAAAGATAGTAGAACCAGGGAAAATACTGTTTGGACTCAGTAGTTTTGTCTGAGTTGATATTAAAATGGCTTCCCCAGGTTATGGTCAAAATCAGTATTAAGATGTGTATTTAAAAAAATTTGGATATCCTTGGGAGCTCTGAGAAAAGAAAAAAAAGAATTCCAGGAGTACCAATGGCAAAAAAATAAAAGCGCTTAAAGGATCCCAGAATTCAGCATCTTGACAATGGGTAGACTACCACAGCCAGCCTCTGTGGACTCTGTGGCTTTCCCTTCTCATCACATTTCCCAAGGGCTTCTATTCTATTCCTTGCAAAACCCAATTGCAAGAAATAACCTAAAACTAATTGGCACTAGTATTGGAGTGATGAAAAATAAAGGAAGACTTTGGCTTTCTTGACGCCAGAAAAAGAGGGGAAACTTGGTATTTTAAAAGAGATAACAAGCTAATGTCTGAAGCAATTATGGTAAAAATTTTTAAAGCTTGAGAAAAAATTGCCTAAAATGTAAAATGGAAAGCTGTTTTCTCTCTAGAGGCTCCATGTGGATCACATATAGGAAATGCAGAGGTTCCCAGAGTGGCCCTTCTCGTCCCATGATCTGGAACAGGCTAACTAGAGCAACCTGCCAAAGAAAAGAGATCTGACCTTGGAGAGAGGCATTGCAGCAGGGCAGAGTTGAGGTGAGGGTGGGAGGGGCTACCTGGAAGAAATCGGTTTTAGTACAAGCAAATGTTTTGCTCTGCAGGGAAACAGGCAGCCTAGTCAGTGAGCAAGTCCATGGATGACCTTGGGGGGGGGGGGGAGGAGGGATGGGTCTAGGATGTTGCCCCCATTGATTGGTTGACAACTAAACTCAACCAACCTCTCCCTCCAATTCATTATAGAAGTCTACACTGAAAGAAAATCAAATTTGAAAACCTTTTGTATGACTAAAGATGCTAAAATTATAATAACCATTTTTTCAAAGTTAATTGAAGGAAAATGGAAGAAAAACAAAGAAAATCAAACCTGCTACCAATAAGCAACTACATTTACCATTCTGGTATATTTTTCCAGAGATTTCATTTTCAATATACAGACAATCATAAAGTCTGTAAATGTAATCATAGACTATTTCACATTTGTCTCCTTTCACATATTGGATACTTTTTAATCTATATTTTAATAAGCTATGTTAATATTGTATCTAGGGACATACTATATTTTATTCAATTTTCTTATGGCTAGGTACCTAGGGATCTTCAATATTTTTCCCATTATAAAAATTTGCTGTGATGAACATGTCTATATATATAATTTTTTATTCTTTAAAATGATTATAGTTGTGTGAGATAAAATTAAATAAAATTTTACTTATATTATTATTATATTATGTATGCATTATATAAAATGAAATAAGCAAGCCCTCATTTTTCTCAAAACTTCCAAAGTAGGGTTTAGGCCAACTTAATATATATAAATCCTTTGGGTAGTAGATGGAAGTATTGAATTTTACTTTCAATGTTAAATGTGTTATTTCATTACACATACATATTTATAAAATAATAAAAGTTTTTGTCAGTCCTGGAGCTTGAACTCAAGGCCTGAGCACTGTCCCTGAGCCTGTTTGTGCTCAAAGCTAGCACTCTACCACTTGAGCCACAGTGTCACTTGCAGACTTTTCTGATGGAGATAAGAGTTTCAAGGACTTTCTTACCCAGATTGCAATTCTCAGATCTCAGATCTCCTGAGTAGCTAGAATTACAGGCATGAGCCACCAGCACCTGGCTTAAATAAATTATTAATTCCTATTTCTTTCCAGTCTGGTAGTTAATAAAAATAACTCTGTTCAAATTCTTCACAAACATCTCAAATCTATCTATTTGTTATAACTAGCACCATATTGTATATCTTCAAATATTTTCCATATTAAGCTTGCTTTTGTTTAGGTTAAGTAGAGCCTATATCAATGCATATATGTTTTTACAATACTCCTTTTGAGCTATAGCAACTATTTGCATAAGAGCTGCTGCTTTAACATTTATCCACTAAGCAAAGATTCCTGATCTCTACAATAAGAGATATTCTTTAAAGAGTTGTTTAATCAATACCAAACACAATTGTGAAGGCATTGGGAAACCCAAGAATAATTAATTTTCTGTAATTATGCAGTTATCTTTTAACACCATAAGTTGACTTTCAGGCATAGCCATGAGTTAGCATTGGGTGAAACCAGTCCAGATTAGGGTACCTTTACTCAACTGTACTTCATCTAGAAATAAAATATTTGAATCTGGTGCTAGTGACATACTGTAATCCTAGCTACTCAGAAGGTTGAGATCTGAGGGTCACAGTTCAAAGCCAGCCCAGGCATGAAAGTCTGTGAGACTCTTTTCTCCAATTAACTACCTGAAAGTGGAGTTGTGGCTCAAGTAGTGGAGCATCAGTCTTGCAAGACAAAAATCTAAGGCCCACACCCTGAGTTGAAGCCCCAGTTACTGACATACACACAAAATAAACAAATAAAATACTTGATTATAAACATTGCTTTTTGTAATTTTTGTAAGAAATTGAATATAAAGTGACTCTTTCTTTAAAGATAAGAAACTTCATTTTATAATGAAGCATATGTAATATTTTTTTCTCACAGTAAATCCCCAAAGTAGAAATATTTGCTCAAACTACTGTATTTTGCCCTTTTGATATTAATTGGCTTCCAATAATAATATAACAGTTTATTTGACTACAACATATTGACAGTATTAAAAAATCACCTTTTAACTGTCCATAAAACTAGTTTGTCAATTATTTATTTACCTTTTTTTTTTTGGGGGGGGGGGGTCCGGTCGTGGGCCTGAACTATGGGCCTGGGCCTCAGCTCTTCAGCTCAAGGCTAGCGCTCTACCACTTGAGCCACAGCGCCACTTCTGGCTTTTTTCTTTTTGCTTATGTGGTGCTGAGGAATCGAACCCAGGGCCTTGAGCATGCAAGGCAAACGCTCTACCACTGAGCCACCTTCCCAGCCCTTTATTTACATTTTTATTACTAGAAGGTTAAAGTATTTGTCCAAGTTTGTTAACCACTAATTTTCTTCATTTGCCCATTTGCCATTTATTTCTTTAGGTTTTCAGTATTTGAGTTGCTGGTTTCTGTGATTATAATAATTTTGTGCATCTAAGTTTAATAACTAAAACACAATCAAAGCACTGAGAATTCTGACTCTTGTGGATAGGAGAAGGTGGTGATGGCAGCATGCCAAGAAAGGGGGGAAAAGGAAGAAGAAGGTTTTTATACTACTGCATTTCACTGTGCCTTACCACTTAGGTTGAAGCATAGTAAGCTTTTGTTCAAAACACTCAGCTGTGAGCCTTGTGCCTCCATGATAGGAGAGAGGAAGCTCATTGAGTGTCGTGGGGAAATAATAGTTGAACTCTTGCCCCTTACCTTAACTCTTTTTTCTTCTTTCTTTCTTTCTTTCTTCCTTCCTTTCTTCCTTTCTTTCTTTCTTTTTTCTTTCTTTCTTTTTCTTTCCTTCTTTCCTTCTATCTTCTTTCTTTCTTTATTTCTTTCTTTTTTTCCTTCTTCCTTTCCTTCCTTCTGTCATTCCTTCCTTTCTTCCTTCCTTCCTTCCTTCCTTTCTTTTTCTTTCTTTTCCTCCCTTCCTTCCTTCCTTCCTTCCTCTTTCTTTCTTTCTTTCTTCTGATGCTAGTACAGGGGCTTGAACTCAGGGACTGGTGCTGTCCCTTAGTTTTTTCACTTAAGGCCTGTGCTCTACCACTGAAGCCACACTTTGACTTCTAGCTTTTTGCTGGCTCATTGGAAATAAAAGTCTCACTGACTTTACTGCTTGGGCTGACTTCAAACCACAATCTTCAGATCTCAGCCTCCTGAGTAGTCAGGATTACAGGTATGAGCCACCAGCACTCAACCTTGACTTTTTCTTTAGACATTTACTCCTCATCAGCTATTGCAATCATTTCAGAATAGGAATGAGTACCCCCAAAATCATTAGCAATAAATAATGCCAGCCATACAGCTCCACATTGGGACTATAAAATAGAGTATGAAGGACAACTATAGAGAAAAGAACACAACATGATGGATATCTGGTTGCACATTAGTGATTATAAACCAAGAAATTGAATTCAAATGTGCATGACTAATTTTTTTTTCCTTTCAGAGAACTGAATGCCAGGCTTGGAAGGTGGCTCAGTGGTAGAGTGCTTGCCTTGCATGTATGAGGCCCTGGGTTCAATTCTTCAGCACCACAGAAGCAGAAAAAAGCCAAAATGGCACTGTAGTTCAAGTGGCAGAGCGCTAGCCTTGAGCTCAAGAACTGAGGGACAAGGCCCAGGTCCAGAGCTCAGGCCCCGTGACCAACAAAAAATAAAACAAATGGGAAGGGGAAACAATGAGGAGGCAACAATGCTTGATAAGAAATGTACTTGTTATCTTGCCCATGTAATTGTAACTTCTCTGTACGGTATTCTCACAAAAAAATTTACTTTAATCAAAACAAAAAACAACTAAATGCCTCCTACAAAATGAAGCAAGGTCTCAGAAAATTTGCTGCCCAGTGAATTTCATCTCAATGTAGTTTGATGTAATTGCAGTGTTGCAACTTTTTTAAATAATGTCATCCCTGAAAGTAGGTCTGTAAGGTGAGGTTTTGATACTGAATTCCCAAATCCTGATTTAGGCCTCATTTAATGAGAATATTTTCAAGTGAGGGAGTAATGGTAGCAAGAATGTAGCACCAGACAAGTGGCCCCAGGATGTGATTTAAAAATGCAGACTGAGTGCTTGCTTTGGCAGCACATATATTAAAATTGGAACGATGCAGAGAAGATTAGCATGGACTCTGTGCAAGGATGATACACAAATTCATGAAGCATCCCATATTTTTTGCAAACCTCTAAGTTGTGGGGCAATCCCTTACTATCTATAATGTACTGTATCATTCAATCAAAAATTGAAAGAATGGAAACGCAAAAAAAAAAAAAAAAATGCAGACTGAGCAGGGTGCTGGTGACTCACACCTATAATCCTAGTTACTTGGGAGGCTGAGATCTGAGTTCCAGTCCAACCCAGAAAGAAAAGTCTGTGGGACTTTTATCTCCAATTAACAAGCAAAATGTCAGAAATGAAGCTGTGTCTCAAGTGGTAGAGTGCCAGCTTTGAATAAAAAGCTAAGGGACAGACAGTGCTAACGCTCTAAAATCAAGCTCCACTACTGGTACCAAAAAAAAATTTTTTTAAGTAAACTGTTCATAAATAAAACCTGACTCTTTGGAAAGTCTCAAATAAACACACAGTTGAAGAAAATGTTTTGTTGTTGGCTGTTGTCAGAGACAACTAGTCCTTCCAGCTGGTAAAAGACTTCACCACATGGGGCTGGGAAGGTGGCTCAGTGGTAGAGCGCATGCCTTGCATGCCAGAGGCCCTGGATTCGATTCCTCAGCACCACATAAGCAAAAAGAAAAAAGCCAGAAGTGGCGCTGTGGCTCAAGTGGTAGAGCGCTAGCCTTGAGCTGAAGAGCTGAGGGACAGCGCCCAGGCCCAGAGTTCAGGCTCCAAAACTGGACCCAAAAAAAAAAAAAAAAGACTTCACCACAACTGGAAATATTTCAGAATCAAGGACTCTCCCTCTCTGGTTAAGGCCTACCAAGCAGTTTCCTTATTCCAGATAGAAACTATTTTCTTCCACCTACTTGAACTAACATTTGTGTGTGGGGGTACGGGGGTGTGGGGGTGCGCACGCACACACACACACACACAAAGTGCCTGCGCGCATGCACCAGCACCAGTTTTATGGCTTGATTCCTTGAGATTTTTGCTCAAGGCTAATAACACACTACCACTTGAGCCACTTCCATTTCCAGCTTTTTGGTGGTCAATTGGAGAAAAGAGTCAAAGGGACTTGACTGCCCATGCTGGCTTTGAACCACAATTCTTAAATCTCAGCCTCCTGAGTAGCTAGGACTACAAGCATGAGCTACCAGCATCTGGCTGATCTTACATTTTTGCAAGGTATTTCTTGAGTGGTAAGCAATAAGTCCATTCAATTGAGAGAATCAATCAATGCTAATAAAATAAATCTGAGAGCTTTTAAGATCTGGTCTCTCCTCACTCTTTACTTGACCCTGCATGAGTTTGATTCAAGGGCACAGAACTAATCTTTCATGATGGAATATAATCACCAGTTAGCACAGTAAGTCCAATTGCTTTTTGTCAGTCTGGAAGAGCAATAGCAATGCACAAGTGAAGAAAAACATGCTTAGGCCTCTTCTCTAGGCTCTCCAAAATAATTGAGCATTTGACTTCAAACAGAGAATACATCAACTCAGTGAAAATCAGAAGAGCCCATTTTTAGGATCTGTGAACATATCACAGTGAAAACCTTACTTTTAGTGCAGAAATGGAATGTAACATCCTTACATTACCTACCTGATAAAATTCAAGTGCATAATAATTTTTCAACATAGAGTGATGAGTGTATAGTATTTCTTTCTGTATAGCAGACTGTAAGTATTCACAGTTACAGAAAGAAATATGACTAGGTTTGTGCTCCACTCAAAGAATCCATGCAGAAAATGATATCCCAAGCCAAAGGGAAAAGAGTATAAAACACTATAAAGTATCAAGATACTTGTTGTTAGCCAGGTACCAGTGGCTTATGCCCACTATCCTGACTACTCAGAAGGCTGAGATATGAAGATTATAGCTTGGAGCAGAAAAATCCATGAGACTCAAGCTGGAACTGGAACTGTGACACAAGTGGTAAGGCACCAGCCCTGAGCAAAAAAGCTAAGGAACAGCACCCAGGTCCTGAGTTCAAGCTTGCTCTTTCCTGGTGGGGTATACTTGTTACCTTATCCTAGGTGAGCAGTGTTGTCCTTAGCAAGCCTTTGTGTACATCTTGACATGACTTGGTATACATACACATACCCTCACACTTTATGAATGTAAATAAATCTTTAGTTCTAACAAGCAAAGAAGCAAAGAACTAGTAGGATTCCACAAAGCAACAACCAGATAAATTCATAAGATGAATGTTATGGTTTGGCCATGATCTGAGCATGTCCCACAATGGTTCATGTGCTGGGACCTTGGTCCTCAACATGGCAGTGTTGGGAGATGGTGCGACACCTTTAAGAGGTGGAGCCTATGGGAAATGATTAGGCCTCTGACTCAAGGAATTAATGTAGTTTTTGTGGTAGCTAGGTTAATTCTTTCAAGAGGGTTTTTATCCAAGAACAAGCCTGGTCTCTCCCTGATCTCATTTGGCTTTCTGCATTACCATATGATCTCTTTTTCTTCTGCCATAATGCTATTCGCCATGATATGACTCAGCCAAAAGGATCCGCAGAACTAACATTTATTTTCAACAAAAAGAATGAAAGATCACCACTGAAAGATAATATGCGTTCTGCAGATAATGTAGTCAGATTCTTAGGTCATCACTGAGCCCTCCTCTGTCACCAAACACAATCATCATAGACCCAGTATCTGATCCCCAGGGAAGAAATCAGAAGCAAATAACATGGAGATTCATGGTCCTTAACTCTAGAAATTCCAGCCAGAGTTTATAAGTCAGTTTCATTGTGCCTACATAGCTAAAAGCACACTATTCTTAATGACTTCTGATTGCTTGCTCATCAATACATCAAAGTCTATAATACAAGCCATTCATGGATCACTAGCAAGCAGACAGCACATGAAATAGCAGCAGAGAAAGCCTGAGGTTTCCTGTACAGCCTTGGCAGCATGAACAACATAGAATTAAGATAGTGGTTCTATGAGTACAGCTCATGGATCTCCAAATGTTTCAAGACTAGAGGATGTATCCATCCAATGTCATTTCATTTTGTTGGCTTGATATCCCTAAATTTGTCCCTGGTATTCTGAATCACAAAGCCTGGCCCCAGTAAGGATGAGACAGTACCATAGTAAACCTAGTCCCCATCCCCACATCCCTTCCCTCTAAAAATGGGTCTTTCTGGTACTGAAAATTGCCCAGCGTACTTTAAAAAAAAACTGAACTTTGGGGGTTTTTTCACATATACCCTATATTTTGTGCCTCCCTTTTCTCAGAAGAGCATCTTATACAATAATGAAAAGCCACATGCAGAAAGAAAATGCCAGTCCAACCTAGAAGAGCACTCCAGAGTAGGAAATCAGAGTAGGAAAACATTTGAAATGTTTTCAAATAGTAAATGCCTGATAGACCAAGGAATACTTGTATTTGTCACATACACCAAAAGAATCATTACCTTCTGATACAGATACTCCATTTGTTGCATGGCCTTTGGAATTCGGTTCCAAACTGTGGGAATTCTCTGGATCTTTCTAGATTTTCTTACCTAAAAACATTAAGGACAAAATATATGATCCTCGAAGTGTCTCCCAAGTGTGACATTCTAAGATTCCTCTTCAGGATATAATTGATCATTGATTACCCACATTAGTGGAAGAGAATGTGACTTGAATACTCCAAATATGTTGATAAAGTAAAACTCATTTCTATTTGGCTTCAGAATGTAACATGGTATGCAGAAAATTACAACAGTCTAATCTTTCCAGTGATCCTTAAGCCAGGCTACTGCTAAAAATCAATTTGTTTGCAACTAATGATGCTATGCTCCACTAAACAAATGTAAGGTGATGCATTAAGAGTTAAGAAGAGGTAGAAAGATATGCCATAGCTTACCCTTTCTGAACCTAAAATACCTGATCCCCACAATAGATTCACGGGAACTTTTGAGCACTCCCTGAGTCAGGGTTTATACTGGCACAGAACACCCAGAGATGAACAAGAAAGATCCCTTCTCTGGAGGCTCTCTGCCTAATGAAGAAGAGATTTTTTTAAGGGGAGGGAGGAGAGTTCTAAGTGCAAAGATAGAAATAAGCATCAAATACCACAAAAATTCAAGGAGCGGTTAAGCACACAGTCCAGTCTATTTGTAGCACCAGGGAACTTTTCTAATTTTTTAAATTATATTTAAGTAGTTGTACAAAGAGATTTCAGGGGGCTGGGAAGGTGGCTCAGTGGTAGAGCGCTTGCCTTGCATGCATGAGGCCCTGGGTTCAATTCCTCAGCACCACATAAGCAGAAAAAAAAAGCCGGAAGTGGCGCTGTGGCTCAAGTGGTAGAGCGCTAGCCTTGAGCTGAAGAGCTAAGGGACAGCGCCCAGGCCCAGAGTTCAGGCTCCACGACTGGACCCAAAAAAAAAAAAAGAGAGAGAGATTTCAGTACAAACTGATTTCAGTCAGTTTAGGAGTACAATGCATCTTGATCAATGTCACTCAGTACCTCATGCTAGAGAGGCACTCTACCACTTGAGCCATGCCCAAACTCCCAATCTTGGATAGTCTTTCAGGACTCCCAAGGACATTAACAGCTATGTTAGACTCAGAAAAATAAGATGATTTAAGGAGGTGGATTAGAAGACAAGAAGGACATTACATGTAAAAGGAATAACATGGCAAAGACAAAGAGGCAAAGAGTACATGGACCATTTAGGAAACAAGTATATCAATGCAACTGAGTTTAAGGGAACAGAGGCTTAATGTATCATACTCTCTTACCTGAAGATTAGTGATGAGCTGCCAAAATTTTCAAACATGCAATTTCATAATTGATGGAGAGAACTGAAAGCATATGAAAGTCAGACTTCCACCAAACTCACCATCTATAACAGTCAGCTACTTCTGTTCTGATGATGATTTATAACAAATAAACCCATCAGTTAATATGTTGCTTTTGCTCAATAGTCTGCAGGCTATCTGGACTTGGCTTCAAGTCCTGGTTGTACAGTTCTATTATAAGGAAGAAGTGAAGAGATGGGAACCACAACAGCTGTATTCTCATTGGTCTCCCAATTTCCTACTTTCTGAAGATAGTTTTATTCAAGGAAATTCCTGATGACTACCTCTTGAAAAAGTGTATACCAACACTAGTGGGAAGTTGGTGTATGTAATGTATATTATTTGGGAACTTCATTTATTATTTAATATAGTATCCACTCACCTTTTATTTACCATTCCAGGAACTTGTACCTGACTTGGCTTTATCCAAAAGTCAAAGTTACAACTTTGTTTTCATCTAGCCTAACCTGAGATTAACATTGTGTTGCTTTCTGCTCTAAGGACCCCCTGTTACATTGTTCCTAAGGCAGCAACATTTCTTCTTTTCCAAATATTTTTATCAGCAAAAGGATTTTAGAGTTCATCTACAGAGAGGAAGTTGCTTAGGGTTTTCAGAGTAGGTCTGTTCTTGTGTGTACAGTTGGAAATACTCATCAGAAAGATCTTAAGTAAAATAGCGATACCTAAATCAAGCCATAGATTTGGCTAAGATCTCCATGGAAAATGTGATATCAACCTTTGGATAAACAATAGCAACAACAAAACTCATACTCTTTCCATGAGCTTGCTGTATTCCTTTGTTTGCATAGTGATAGTCACAGACAGTAGACTAGTGCTTGAGAGCCTGGAGGAAAACTTCCAAGAAGGACGTAATTGGGAAAAGTCAAAAATCAAGAACATAGCTAAAAAGTGTCAGTTGGATTTGGCCAGGGCCACAGCCTCTGCTTGCTTAGGTTGGGATCTGAATAGGGTGCTTATCCAAGAAGACAAGCAGGGCTGAAATTTAGCTCATCCTCTGCTAGAGTAGCTGAGGTCCTCTTTCCAGAGGGTGCCCTTTGTAAAGCAAAAAACAAAAACAAAAAACTTGTGATCTCTTTGCCAAGCTTGAAACCAAGGGATTGCTTCTTGTTTTCCCAGCAGGTAGCCTTTTTACATTGCACAAAACACCATCTGGGCTACTGGCCCTGAATTAAGCAACTGGGAAGTCGATGGAAAGGATAAAAAATTTTAATTTACATGAAAGCTTTTTGTAGACTGTATAGCACTACTCAAGTGTAAAGCAGGGCAGGAAGAGGTTATTCTGCAACTTACTAAGTGAGAGGAGAAAATACATTGACTACAAACATTTTCTGCCTAACCCAATCAATAGACTCCTCAATGGGAAGCCAGTGGAGAGACGACTGCCCAGAGAGCACAGATGGGAATAGACGTGATGGCTTCTAAAAGTCCATTCTAGTCACTGACCCCAGAGCAGATGTAGCCAACTGGATAGTAGAGCCAAAGACAGAGGCACCTGACACTGCCTAGCCTAACCTAACTGTCAAACCCTTTGATCTTGCTGAAGCTTGCAGAAAACATCTGGCTCCGTGGGTTCTCAGACACAGATAGACGATGACGAGGGGAGGTTTTTGTTAAGCTCTGTAGTACTGTGACTGGGGGGATTCGAGCACAGTGTTACAAAACCCACAGAGACCTGTACAAAAACTGCCTGGGCCAAAGCACCATTTCCCTGGGAAAGCCTCAGCCTCCCTCTGGTGCCACATGGGATGAACACAGCAGGTACCCTTCCTTCCTTTGCTCTGCAAACCAGAAGGGATGCCAGGAAGTTGACTGGACCTGGAGAAATGACCACAGTGGCTGGCCTCTCATTTGCTGCTATTTCCTGGGTAACTATGGCAATTCAACATTTACTTACACAGCACATTATGGAGAACACAAGATAAATGAAGATGTTTTGTTAAAAATGATCCTTGTATGTTTTCATGCTGATTCTACTGAAAAGAGAAAAAAGACTTACCTGAGCCATCTCCTATGGGATTTCTGAGCCCAGGTCCTTAGATTTGCCTCGGAGCTTTGTGTTTGCAAATTGGGAAGGTGAATTTGAAGATGGATTTGTCTGTAGACAATCAGTAGCCATATGGTGACTGTAAAGGTCTTGAGTAATCATGGGCCCAAGACCCAACAGCTCCATGGACCAACTTTCTGGGGCTAAGAGTTAGTTGTGTGTCTGGAAAATGTCAACAGTCTAAAACAATGGGCAATGAAATAGAAAACTTTCTTGGTGTGCTGTGCTGGAGACATTCACCCCAGGAATGTAAGCTCCTACCTGCTCCTCAGACTAAAGCCTCCAAAAGCAGCCCTGACCTTGCCTGCAGTTGTTAAATCATAGTGAACCTGTTGGACAGGCAACAAGTGCCACCTTTCAAGGAATTACATATGGAAAACCAATGGGTCCTAAAGCCCATAGGAGAAAGGAAGGTGGCATCACTTGCTGGGGTTTTGGGAGCACTCTCAATGACTGTGCAACCGACAAGCTTATCTTTGGACAAGGAACTCAAGTGACTGTGGAACCAAGTAAGTAATTTATTTGTCTGGAATTGGTGTTAAGAGGCTTTCTAACTAATGAGGCAGAAATCATCAGAAAATGTGAAAGGGATAGTAATCATGTCAGTGGCATAGCAGTGTCCACCAGGACTCCAGGGAAAAGGTAAACTATGGTTAATTCCTCCATGGGGAGAGGGGGAGGTGTCAGAAAAAATAAACAGAATTTGTGGGATATAAAAGGACCTTTGGGGCTCAGAAACACCTGAGAGAATTCGGCCTATTGCATGAACCTGGGCAATCCCATCAAAGTGGCTTGAGATTGAATAATTCTGACCTTTTGTAGGCAAATGTGTGCTCCTGGTAGAACCTGGAAAGTTATGGGCATGGAGGGTGAGGTCAGAAGTCATTTGCTATAAATATGTTGTAGGTACAGTTCTCTTTAAAAAGAGGAAGGTGTTCTAGATACTTGTTTCGAATTATTTGAGCTGTAAGTGAAACCACATTACTAGAGAGTAATAGGAACATTGTGGTTCGCAGAGAGACCAAATTCCAAGCAGAAAAAAGTGAGTTCCAATTTCTTTGGAGCATTTCTTCCAATTAAGAAATGCTTCCGTGTCTGTAGAACACAAACCAGAGTAGCTGCCTAAGCACTGCTGTTTATTTTCCTCGCAAAGAGAATATGGGGAAAAAAGAAGAATATGGAAACATTAATTCACTGTCATAAATGACTCAGTGCTAAAGTTATTAAAAGTTTTGTGCTCAAAATAGAAAACATCTTTTCTTGTCATTTAAATGACATTTGAATTCAACCAGTGACTTGCTTTAAAAAAAAAAAAAAAAGATAGTGTTTTCCACTTGGCAAAAGCTTCCAGTTACAAAAGTGAATATGAATCCTAAGCTAGCCATTGTAATAAGAGAATTTTTAAACCATTAAGAAGGTCCTAGAAAAGCTTAGCAATAGAGATAAAAGATCCCAAATTTTCCAAACCACTTAGAGAAGAAACAATAGACCCTTCCCTGATGCCTTGACATTCAACTTATGTTTTCCAAAGCTAAGAGAAGGCTCTGGAGAGGCAGAATGGAGGAGTGTAATGGGGTAAACTCCCTCAGAAAAGTCAGGAACAAGACAGTGCAGGTTATATGAAGTGAAAGAAGAAAAGTATTGCAAGCAGAGGTGGAAAAGCAGCGGCCTACGTAAGGATTCCCAAACCTCTCATACTATGAGATGTGTGGGGCAGGGGCTTTACTTGCAGTGGGAAAGCTATGTAACAGTCAAAGGGGAGAAGTTCAATTTTTTAATATAAATTTTATTATTTTTTTCTTTTTTCTTTTTGTTCTTTTTTTTTTTTTTTTTTGCATGTTAGTGGAAGAAAAAAAGACCCTATGCTTGGGACTGTGCTTCTTTTTTTAAATTGTTATTATTATTATTAATGTATTGTACCGAGGCATTCTCGTTTCATAAATCAGGTACTTTTTTTGGACAATGTCATCACTTCCTTCACTTTCCCCCAGTGAGAAGCTCATTTTTAAAAAATATCAAAATCTTAATAATATTTTATGAATTAGACTAGTCCAAGCCCTTGCCCTTGAAACTTCTTCACCTGAAATTTTCTTACTAATTATTTGGAAGCAACACACACGCACACACACATACACACTCCACTAAAGTAGTAGTTTATCCACAGTCCCAGCAAAGTAATAGACTGAATTTCTCTGTTTACTGACTTCCTTGAGCCGATGTTTCCCCAAGTGTAGAGAGCATAACATCTGATTTTTCTAGTACCTACATAGACTTGTTCATTTAAATTGCTTTATCTTTTCATGAGTATCAGAATCAAGTAGGTTATCAAACTCATATTATTTACAGGTCCCTTTTAATTATGTTTTAAGTTAAAAAGTGAATACATTTGGGAGAGATGGGGGAGGACAATGGAAGGAGTGACATCAATCAAGATACATTGGTCCATAAATCAATTTATGATCATCAGTTTATGCTCTCATAAACTAACATTTAATTGAAACTCTTTTGTACAACTACTTAAAGTTAATTTTCAGAAATTATACTATTAAATTTTAAAAGTGAGTCCATATGAAGAAAAGTATTTAGTAAATTGTGACAGATAGATATGACATATAGAGTAAAACAGAGAGGTGGAGAGGAAGAGAGAGAAGATGGATACTTAATTACTGAAGTTTGGGAAATGCTAAGCTAATTGCATCTGATTGTACTTGGGATCCAGAATCTTTGAATTAATTTATGTGTGTCTGTGTGTGTGTCTGTGTGTGCACGCGTGCATGCGTGCGCACACGCACACCTGTCTTGGGGCTTGAACTCAGGGCTTATGCACTGTCCCTGAGCTTTTTTGTTCAAGGCTGGTGCTCTACCACTTGAGCTATAGCTCCACTTCTGGCTTTTTGTGTGTGTATCCTTAATTGAAGATAATTGTCTCACAGACTTTCCTGCCCAGGCTGGCTTCAAACTGTGATCTCAGATCTCAACCCCCTGAGTGTCTAGGATTACAGGTATGAGCCCCTCGCTGAATGTATCTTCTTTTTTAGCCAGCTAATATTGGATTTAAAAGGTATCACTGCAAACTGAGGCCTAAATTCTCTCAGAAGCCTGCTAACTCTTGACACTTCTTCTCTCTGGGACCTTCTTTCATGTTCTTACTTAAAGGGCTCCCAAGCAGCATAATTGCTCCATGCAAAGAAGATGCTATTACACGTTTCAGTCCTCTATGTAGAGCAAGCCAGGGGATACAACTCAACTTAAACAGCAAAGTACAAAGTAGCATGTGATAAATTGCACAATATAAATATGTACTACCAGTGTTGGCCTGGCAGGAACTTTTAAAAAAAAATCACAGACATCAGAAACATCCTCCTGAAGGTGGCCCATGAGGTGGACTTACGGTGCTGTCTGTTATTTCTGTGTCAACTACCATTGCTCGAGTGCCCACCTTGTGTCAAACCACCTGGCTAAGCACTTTACAAATGGCATTTACTCCGTAAATGTAGAACTGCATTTTACAGTTTAGGAAACTGAATCTCAGAAGCATTTCCCCCAAGGTCTCACAGCTTAGCAAAGCCATAATTGGATTCATATGTCTGATTCCATACTGCTGCTCTTCTCTTAAGGTTGTAGTTCAACTTGGAATCAGATTCTTCCTACAAGCTCCAGATATCTGAAGCAACAGTTACCCCACCTTCCTTCCAGCCACATCATCACCACTCTCTTCATTATGGAACCACCCCATATGTTTCCAAATACTAGTTACTCAAGAAGTATTCTCCATTCCCAGAAGAAGCCCATTCCATTCATTGCACCCTTGGAGCCTGACAGCCCAAAGTACAGAAAGATCCAGAGAGTGATCAGACTTATCCACCTTCTCCTCAATGAAAAGGAGTCCATAAAACCCTAGGGTCATCAATGTGTTTCCATAATCCAAGCAGTATCTGGCCCACTGCTCCAAGCTACTGGCCTTGCCTGGCATCTTTGGCATTTTGTCTCACTTATGAGGACCATTTCCCTGAATGGAACCTTCAGCTGAAGCTATTATCTCCCACAGATTTGTCTCCCCTTCCTTCTCCAGGTAGCTACTCAAATGTTACTCCAACAGGGTCTTCTCCTACCACACCTGTCATTCTGCAGACAGATCCTTTCTGCTGGGTTATATAAAGTCTTCTGGTCCACTTGAAATTTATGTTGATTTATTGTCTGTCCCCTCTACTCCACACAGGCAAAGACTTTGAGTTTTCCTTAACTGTAGCCACAAATGCACTAAAAAACATAAAATAAATGTTTGTTATATGGATCAATCAGTCAATCATTACTCAAAGGACAAGTCAGTTGTGATGTAGGGCAAAAGGAAATAAAAGTGGAAGTGAGCTGGAAATCTGTAGAGCCAACCCAGAGCCCCAGCTCCGTAACCTGTGACATGTCAGTGTCACTATGAGCCAAGCATTATTTTAGATGTCAAAGCACTGGTATGAAAAAATGACAGATATTCATGCTTCCTTGGAGTTTACTTTCTAATAGCAAATGACAGACAGTGACATATGTTGTATTTTAGGTGATGCTAAACTCGGTGAAAAAAATAATAAAGCAGAGAAATAGAACAAAGGGTACTAATGTAGGGAGCAGTGGACAACCTGGTGTGTTTGGGTATTGTTGTGGTTGTTTTGGTTTATATTCTTCCTAGAGAGTCTTCACTTTTGTCTCTCTGCTTCATTGACTCCAGAGAAATAGCTTACTCTATATTGGTATATTCACCACATACAAATCTAGGCCATGAGTATAACCAGATCCATACTGCAAACCTAGGTGATGAGAATGAAGTGTCATGAGGACCAAGTAAAACCAAGACTTCAGAGAACAAGTTTTAATCTTTCTTTTTGATGAGTTCTGTGACTTCCCTGAACTCTCATTTCCCTGTGGTTAGACTGAAATGTTCCCAAGGTTTCCTCTGGTTCTAACACACTGTGATCCTAATGGTCCCCAGATCAATGCTTAGAAGTAATTTTGTAGACAAAGCGGTGAAGTCCAATGTGTGAATATCCTATGAGCCAGTAGAAAGTCTGTGATTAATAGGGGGGGCGGGAAGAAAGCATTGGAAAGAGATCAAAACTCTGTCTATACGTCTTTTATTTAGCCCTTATATAGTCACAGAAGTTTAGACAAGTGATCACTGAGGCTATTCCAGCCTTCCATTCTGCTTCAATGGATGGAAACTGGGCTCCAGATACCTGAAGATGAATCACAGCTCAGCCACTTGTGGCCTTAACCATTTTTAGCTTTGGTGACATTATCTGTAAGATGAATCTAGTAATTCCAGTTCATATCAATAAAGTCATCTATAATTATTATAATCCTTTGGATACACCCCTACGTCATTTGCATGAGTGACTCTGGCTTCAGCCACTATGCCCCTCCCCCTCTAACTTAGGTATTTCTGGTACATGAGACTATGGTTATGTTTATACCTATTATGGCAATTCAATAACTCTCAGGAAAAAAATGCTTCCTTTCT